GATGTAACTATTCAGTTTACTTCCTTGAAGGCTCGATCTATGTGGGAATTGAACAAAAAGTTTATGATCTAGTAGACAGGACAGTATAAACAAATAACGACAAAAATATAAGTTACTACAGTTAAGTTTAAAAGTACACATAGATCTAATATTTGCCTTATATATTTGGGTGCTTGGGTCTTGGGTGCATATATCTTTATAATTGCTGTATTTTCTTGCTGAAAATGTTCCTTTATCATCATATAATGATCTTTTTTGTCTTGCTTAATAGTTTTTGACTCAATGTTTATTTTAAGTATAATTACCTCTGCTTGCTTATGGTTTCCATTTGCAGGGAATATTTTTTTCCATCTCTTTGCTTGTAGTATGTGTATCCTTAAAAGTGCAGTAAGTCTCCTGTAGGCAGCAAACAGTTGGGTCTTTTTATCCTTTCAGCCACACTATACCTTTTATTCTTTCAGCCACACAATACTTATTTACATGGAAAGTTATTGTTGATAGGTAAGGACTTATTCCTGCTATTTTATTAATTGTTTTCTGGCTGTTTTGTAGATTCTTTGTTCCTTCCTTCCTCTCTTGTTGTTTACGTTTGTGGTTTAGTGGTTTTCTGTGGTGCCACTACTGGGTGTATATCCAAAGGAAATGAAATCCATATGTCAAAGAAATATCTGTATCCACATGTTTATTTTAGCACTATTCACAATAGCCAAGATACAGAATCAACCTGAGTATCTAACAATGGATGAGTGAATAAAGGAAATGTGGTATCTATGCATGATGTAATACTATTCAGCCTTTAAAAAGAATAAAATCCTGTCTTTTTTTAGAACATGGATGAACCTGAAGGACATCGTGTTAAGTAAAACAAGCAAGCATGAAAAGACAAATACTCAAAAAATTAGCTGGGCATGGTGGCGCGTGCCTGTAATCCCACCTACTCAGGAGGCTGAGGCAGGAGAATTGCCTGAACCCAGGAGGCGGAGGTTGTGGTGAGCCGAGATCATGCCATTGCCCTCCAGCCTGGGTAACAAGAGTGAAACTCCATCTCAAAAAAAAAAAAAAAGAAAAGAAAAGACAAATACTGCATGTTCTCACTTATATGCAGAATCTTAAAAGTTGATCTCCAGTTGGGTGCAATGGCTCACACCTGTAATTCCAGCACTTTGGGAAGCCAAGGAGGGTGGATCACAAGGTCAGGAGTTCAAGACCAGCCTGACCAACATGGTGAAACCCTGTCTCTACTAAAAATACAAAATTAGCCGGGCGTGGTGGTGCATGCCTGTAATTCCAGCTACTCAGGAGGTGGAGGTTGCAGTAAGCTGAGATTGAGCCATTGCACTCCAGCCTAGGCAACAGAGCAAGACTCCATCTCAAAAAAAAATGTTGATGTCCTAGAAGTTGAGAGTAGAACAATGATTACCAGAAAATAAGGAGTGGAAGAAAGGGGAAGAGGGAGAAAGGGATGAGCTTGGTCAATGGGTAAAAAGTCATAATCAGAAAGGACAAATAAGGCTTGGTGTCCTATTGCACAGTAGGGTGACTATAGTCAACACAAAGGTATGTACATCTCAAAATAGCTAGAAGAGGGATTTTCTGTGTTCCCACCATAAAGAAATTATAATTTTTGAGATGATGGATATGCTAATTATCCGTATTTGATTATTACCTATTGTGTATTGAAACATCACACTGTACCCAGTAAATATATACAATTATTGTATGTCTATTTTTTAAGTATAGACAGCTGATCATGGCATCTGAGCAGACATTTTTTTTTTTTTGAGACAGAGTCTTTCTCTGTCTCTCAGGCTGGAGTACAATGGCATCATCTCAGCTCACTGCAACCTCCACCTCCCAGGTTCAAGCAATTCTCCTGCATCAGCCTTCCAAGTAGCTGGGATTACAGGTGTCCACCATCATGCCCAGCTAATTTTTTTTTTTTTTTTTGTATTTTTAGTTGAGATGGGGCTTCACCATGTTGGCCAGGCTGGTTTTGAACTCCTGACCTCAAGTGATCCTCCCGCTTCAGCCTTCCAAAGTGATAGGATTACAAGTGTGAGCCACTGCACCTGGCCTGTGAGCAGACCTTTAAAAGTTAAATTATAATTTACCAGTAGAAAAGATGGGCGGTAACCCTAGTCAAAGATGGCCAAGCACTCAAGGGCATTGTCACTTTTGTGATTCTGAACTCCTGGAGGCTCACTGAAGGGCTTGAGGTCAAGGAGTGATACGGACAGAATTACCTGTTCTCCTCATTCCTCTGTCAGTCCCAGGTGTGTAGGATGGGGCCTGGCAGTTCCTGGAAGCAGACGAAGCAGGTACTGGGTTATAGCAACAGGTGAAGCCAGAATAGGTGTCCCCAAGTCAGGTAGAGACAAGAAGGGAGGACAGGCAGAGCAGGAGGTCCTGCAGAGGGAATCCACTGAAGTTAGTGACTGGCAGACTGGTGAGTGAGAGAGAGCCACAAGTCTGTCTTCTGTGACCTTCTCGGGGATGGTGTCATAAACAGAGGAAGGAATAATGGACAAAAGGGCAATGGGTGGTGTATTGGAGGAATTGTGGGGAGACAGTGGGTGTTATATTGAAAGAAAGGCTAAGCAGTTTTGGGGGATTTAGTCACAGTAATCCATGACTGCAGTTAGTTTATAAAGTCATGAGAACTATTAAAATGAGACTATTATCCATATAGATATTAACTTCAGCTGGGCCCTGGACATGGCCTAACACATTTCACGAGTCAAGTGACAACCCAGATCATTAAATTTTCTGTTCTTTTCAGAAAATTCCCCTATTTCCACATTCTCCCTCTACATATAACCTTACCTCCTACTTCATCTCACAAATAGAAATGATTTCTCCAAAACCGACCTGTTTGCACACGTTCCGAAAGTGATCCCCTGCAACCCAACCACTTAAGCCAGCAACAGGGTTTTCCATGCCCAAGCTGCAAAGGAAAAGCTTGATGACAGGACGTCAGGAAGAAAGGTCAGCGCTAACTGATGACTGTAGTAGCCAAGAATTGAAGCAGAGGGAGAACGAGGGGGAAGCCTGGAAAGGTCCTCATAGGTTAGTTCATAGGGCCATAGTTGGAAGCGTGTTTGTAGTGGAGCATCCAAGTACCAAATGGGTATGTTAGGCCAAAGGACTTTCAAAGTCATTTCCACCCATAGGCTTACTAGCCTTGTATCCTGGGACAAATTATTTTACACCCAAATGAGTATTAGACTAGATTTCCTTTAAGGTCTCTCAGAGCTTTAAGATGTTATGATTTCTTTGAGGACATTTCAAAATATGTATTAAGAGTTACAAACTTAAGCTGCCTCCATTGCCAAACGAAGGTCTTGCTTTACTAATTTCAACTAACTGATAAAATCAAAGGCTTCTTTATGTCATTCTTCTGCAGTGCTAAACATAGGCGTTGATAGTATTAAATGAATCTGTAACTATGAGTGGAGATCAAACACATCACCTGACTAATATTTTTACAAAGCAGTTCCCAAAACATTGAAAAGTTCATTGCTACGAAACCAATTTACTGATTGATGAAAAGGTCTCTCAATATGTAACCTTTAAATGCATGACATTTCAATCAGAATACTGAGTTAGGAGTTTGAGACTTTGACTTTTCAGATACACACAGACAGAAAAAATACATTTCATGTCATTATTGTTTAATATATTAGATATTTCTGTTTAAAATTGATAGTTGTCTTATAATTTTATGTCTGAGTTCCCATAGTAGAGTACTAATGTGCAGAGAATTCATGAAAGGGTTTAAATGTCTAACAAATGTGAGATTATCTGAAGCTGTCTCAGCTTTTAATGTAAGGCCTGCAGCTGTTGGTATGATAGAAGCATCAGATTTCAAAAGACGTTATGGTAGAGTATGAATAAGCAGAACAAAGAGAAAAAGTCTCCTGACAAAACAAAATAAAAATGAAGCATATGCATTGTTATTGCATTGCTCCTTTTTTTCCTCAATTTTTATTTCAGGTTCAAGGGATCCATGTGCAGCTTTGTTACATGGATAAACTGCGTGTCACCAGGATTTGGTCGACAAATAATTTCATCACCCAGGCAGTAAGCACAGTACCCGATAGGTAGTCTTCCCACCCCACCTTTCTCCCTCCCTGCTTCCTCAAGTAGGCCCCAGTATCTGTTGTTCCCAGGTGTACTAAGGCACTGCTTCTTACAGTCAAGGTTTAGTAGCAAAATGCAAATATGAGACATATAATTTAGTAAGTTTTAATTCATGTTGCAAACCAGGCCACATAAAAATAATGCAAAATAAGATTAAGATTATTCATAAGTTTGATATGTATTCTATTGTCTTTACACTTTATCAAATGGAATGACCTAATTACTCTTAAATAATGATAAAAACAATTTAAGATCACATTGTTACATTCACATAATTTATTAAATATAATAGAAATTTAGTTTGCTAAAAAAGAACCGGCATAATTTTAACATGCAGAGTTTACCTTCTAAGATTTTCTCCTCGAATGTTAACATTTTTCATTTAAAGAGGCTTATGGAAAGTGATTTTTAAAGAGTGACTGTTAAAATGATAATATGTCGTTCATTTGGATGAGACTAGTATAAGTGTAATAGTCAAAAGGTTTAACTGTTGCATGTTAATTTGAAGAGATTTTTTCATAAAGTTTTATCAACATTTGTTTATACTGGAAACTAGTCTCAGAAGTTTTTTTTTTTTTTTTTTTTTTTTGCTATTTGTTTGTGGTCAAGTTCTTTTAGAAAGTTATGATGATATGAGACTATCATGCTTGCGGGTTTAAACATTGGAATGTTGGTTTTGTAAGAAGAATGGTTTGGTTTTTTGTTTTGGTTTGGTTTTCGGTTTTGGTTTATTTTTGGCATGTGAAGAGCTGTGTCCCAGAATTGGTGCCCAAAGAATTTTAAGTGTGGCATGAACTGTTTATGTCACCGAGTAAAATTAGACCTGCCTGTTGCTAATGTAGGGGATGAAACATGAGACAGGGCTAAACACGTGACAACCCCTTCTCCGGAGACGGTTGCTGAAGCTTCCCCCTTTGCTGTCTATTCTGTAAGTCACGGAAAAGTTGGAAGCATTCTGTCTTCAGTAGAGCTCAGGCCGGTTGTAGTTCATTCGCCAGTGTGCTTTTCTTAATAGCTAAGGTAAGTGCTCAGTTTTTAATTGGATTTTATATCATTACAAAGTGCAGTCTAAAAACCAAACACTCAGGAGGTTTCTTAATCTTTCTTCTTTGGTGGTATAATAGTTAATACATTTAAAATAATGTCGAATAAATTGTATATCTCAACATGATGATATATCAAATGTCAATAAAATTCTCATTTCGACTAAGTTATTCTGACTACTAATAGGTATTTTAGCATAATCCTGTATTTCTAATCTTTTTAATTTGTAGAATGTGAAAGATAGCATTTCTATATTATTGGGAATTGAATTGTATCCGGCAGCTAATCTAGACAAAGCATCATCTTTAAGATCACCTATTTCTAATTCTGCTCTCAAACTTTAGTGCTGTAATTACATTTGCTTTAGAGTTTCTTGATAGTTTTGTTATAAACACTAAGAAATAGACTAAAATGAATGACAACAAAAGTTCAGTGACTTTGTAAGTTGGAAATAAACAAAACAGGAGCAAAATAGCAACCTGGCTCCCTGACTATTTTTGGAGTGAAAAAGGGAAGCATGTTTCTTTCCCCAAATCTGGAAAATATAAAGTGCTGCTCAAAATATGAATGAAAAAATAAACATAGGTAGGGTAAAATACACACGTGCTAATGCTTCGGCTTACTGAAGTTATGAGTTCTCCCTGCCCTTCCCTTCTTCCCTTCCCTTTCCTTCCCTTCCCCTTCCCCTTTCCCTTTCCTTCCTTCTTTTTCTTTTCTTGCTCTCTCTTTCTTTCTTCTTTCTCTCTCTCTTTCTTTCCTTCCCTTCTTTCGAGGGAATTTTGCTCTTGTTGCCCAGACTGGAGTGCAATGGGGCAATCTCGGCTCAGTGCAATCTGCCTCCCTGGTTCAAGCGATTCTCCTGCCTCAGCCTCCTGAGTAGCTGGGATTATAGGCATGCACCACCATGCCTGGGTAATTTTGTATTTTTAGTTGAGATAGGGTTTCTCCATGTTGGTCAGGCTGGTCTCAAACTCCTGACCTCAGGTGATCTGGCCACCTTAGCCTCCCAAAGCACTGGGATTACAGGTGTGAGCCACTGCTGTGTTTTCTAAATTAATATGTGACAACTAGCAAACAGAAAGGAAGGCTTACAAAAAAGTAATCAGGGAAAATATAACTCAGCAGGCTGAAAGATTTGCCAGCAGGATGGAGTAACTACCAGTACAAAATGAACCACAGAATACACCATTTATTTTTTGCTAATTTTCTGGCAAATATTTTGTAGGTATAAAGAGGCACCTTTGTAGAATCTAAAAAGTAATAGTACAAGTTGGGGTTCATTTTATAGGTTCTAGGATTCATTTTGGGCTGTCATTCAAAGACAAGTGAAAAGTAGTGTTAGCTGGGCATGGTGGCACAAGCCTAGTGTAGTCCCAGCTACTCTGGAGGCTGAGGCAGGAGAATTGCTTGAACCCAGGAGACAGAGTTTGCAGTGAACCGAGACTCCAGCTTGGCAACAGAGCGAGACTCGTCTTAAAAAAAAAAGAAAGAAAGAAAGAAAAGGAAGAAGAAGCCAGGTGCAGTGGCTCATGCCTGTAATCCCAGCAATTTGGGAGGCGGAGGAGGGCAGATCACGAAGTCAGAAGATTGAGACCATCCTGGCTAACAGGGTGAAACCCTGTCTTTACTAAAATACAAAAAATTAGCCAGGCATGGTGACACGTGCCTGTAGTTCTAGCTTCTCAGAAGGCTGAGTCAGGAGAATCACTTGAACCTGGGAGGCTCAGGTTGCAGGGAGCCGAGATCGCGCCACTGCAGTCCAGCCTGGCAATAGAGCGAGACTTCATCTCATAAAAAAAAAGAAAAGTAGTGTTTCAATGTAGTTAGATATAGCATTCCAAATACTAACAAATGCAAGTATCCAAAAGATATCCGCTAAGCTCCCAGTTAAAATGCTGAAAATAAAATTGCTCCATGCTGTCCTTTGTACTTGCTAGTCATTCAACTAAGTTATTAAGTTGCATTAAAAATTAAATAATAATTGCAAGTTATAATCACCAACTGTCATTATTAAATTGCATTAAAAATTAAATAATAATTGTAAATTAGAGCGGATGCCCAATGTGTTCAGTTTTGCGTAATTTACAGGGCCTGAGGATCTCCCTCTGTTCCCTAATCCGTGGCTCATCACAACCCTCGTGTCTTCTCAGCTGAGGCACCAGGGCTGTGGTTTCCTAGTGGGAAGGGGGAAACTACTGCATCCTGAGGATGACTCTGCCACTGTTCTGTTCCTTTAGAACCCACCTTGACCCTCATGACACCTTCCTTTCTCTCCCTCCCTCCTCGTCTCTCAGCCTCGACAGCATCTGACTGGCTTTATTCTCCAAACTTACTGCAGGGCCAGAGAGCTCTACCATGTTCTCATGAGGATTGCAGGATCCATCACTTGCAACTGGCCATTTCAGATTGCAGCTTCAGTTTTAATTTTTTTATTTTTTGAGACGGAGTTTCGCTCTTATTACTCAGGCTGGAGTGCAATGGCACGATCTCGGCTCACCACAACCTCTGCCTCCTGGGTTCAGGCAATTCTCCTGCCTCAGCCTCCCGAGTAGCTGGGATTACAGGCACACGCCACCATGCCCAGCTAATTTTTGTATTTTTAGTAGAGACGGGGTTTCACCATGTTGACCAGGATGGTCTTGATCTCTTGACCTCGTGATCCACCCGCCTCGGCCTCCCAAAGTGCTGGGATTACAGGCTTGAGCCACTGCGCCCGGCCCCAGCTTCAGTTTTAATTTAATATGTTATGCTGTAGATAGTTTTGTTGTACTGGCCCGAGCATAGAAAGTCAACACCACGACAAAAGTATACCAAATTGCCAGAGGCCATGCAGGACTTGTATCTCTCCAACCCGTGACCCAAAAGGAGGGTATCAAGACCTTTTATACCTGTAAAACCACCTCGGGAGTGAGCGTGAGGGGCGGAGGTGGGGGTGAGGGGCTTCAGACATTCTGAGGGCTACTGATTCTGTAAATCGCCTCCTGGGCAGAGATGAGGGTGAGGGGCTCCGGACGTTCCGAGGGCCAGGGGACTTTTCACATTCTGATTGTTAGTTAAGTGGTTCACAAAAGTCAAGATAAGCATTTGTTTACACATTGTCTGGGTGGGGTCCTTAATTACTTATTACAAGTCGCAGGGGCCAAGACGGCCTGGGTTTGGACTGCTTGCCTGTCACATCTGGGTGATAGATAGCAGTTTCTACAGAAAGCCGAGGTCTGGTTGAGGTATGCAGTTTTATGGGGCTTTTACCATGTCATAGTTTTATGGGAACATTGGTACAGGGGTCTTTAGTAATTCGTGGATTGGTAAAGGTCTCAGGACTTTTCTCAGAATCTGTGACAATCTCAGTGTCTACTCAACTTCAGTATGACTGGTGTGTAGGACCACTGAGGAATGCGGACGAACGGGGGGCTCGCTGTTCCCGAAGGCATTTGTGCTTCATCCTAAGCACCAGTGAAACCTTTGACTCTTTAGAAAAGGAGAGCAGTGAAGTGGAATGTGTGCCTTGGAAGGAGCACTCCAGTTGTCATGGAGAATGGACCAGAGGCAGTAGAGAAGGCAGTGAAGGGTACCTTAAAACCTAGCTTCGCCTTTGTGACTTGTCTAACTCTGTTTTCAAAATGCTCAGTTTTACTTGAGAAACATTTCTGAAAAAACTAATATCGATGAAGCGAGGCTATGCTTCAGAGTTTAGGCTGTGGGGCCAGACTGCCGTTTAACCTTGTATGAATTACTTAATTTCTACATGCTTCAGTTTCTTCATTTGTAAGGTGGGAGGAGTTGCATTGTAGCATCTACCACTTTAACAAGTATCAATTTCAGACCATATAAGGCAATTAGGCTTCTGACTTCTTAGTAATCAGTAGCTTCCATCGTCATCATCATTCAGTGTATCCGATTATCCAGACCCCCACTGAGGGCAAGTCAGTAAGACCTCAGGAAAATGGAGGAAACTGGTCAGGATTTTGAACCTGCTTCTCACAGCCCCCTAAGAAGGCACCAGAAAGGAGCCCTAAGCAGGCAGGAGACTCCAGGCTGAGGCTATTTCTGCTGTTTCTGTGGAGAATGTTCTCTACGCTCAGCCATGGCTGCTCAGAAGTGGTGTGTGCATTCCAGGATGCTAATAGCCCTCCTGGCACTCCTGGTGGCTGCCTGCCTAGCCCTACTGGTGACGTTTATGAAGCAAAGAAAGGCAAGTGACTGTTTACCTTTACCATGAAAATCTTCCTTTCGTTCAACATTTTAGCTCTTAATGAAAACTGTGTATAAAATATTCTCTTTATTTATTATTATTATTATTGGAGACTCCCTCTCTGTCACACAAACTGGAGTGCAGTGGCACCGTCTCGGCTCACTGCAACCTCTACCTCCCGGGTTCAAGCAATTCTACCATCTCAGCCCCCCAAGTAGCTGGGATTACAGGTGTGTGCCACGATGCCCAGCTAATTTTTATATTTTTAGTAGAGACAGGGTTTCACCATGTTGGCCAAGCTGGTCTCAAATTCCTGACCTCAAGTGATCCACCTGCCTCTGGCCCCCAAAGTGCTGGGATTATAACTGTGAGCCACCGCACCCCGTTTATATAAAATATTCTAAAATGTTAATCTTGGTGAAACAGTACAACTGTGTTGTCTCCATACTGGAATGTATTTGAATGTGTGTATTTTGGCAACATTTGAAGTCACTTTAAATCATCTCATTCCTATCCCAAAGCGAAGGTGATAATAAGGGTGGAAGTGCATAATAGCCCCGAAGCCAGCGGAAACTTTTTAAATGAACTGTCAGGCCATAGGAAAAAGACATATATACTACGTTTGATAAGAAACTTAATTAAGTGTACCTCAAGAATTCCTTTTTGCATTTAGAGACTTGTAACTAAAAAGAAGCTCAGTGTAGCTGATACATTTAAATAACTTCCTTTTCTTAAAATTTTCACTTAATATTGTGTGAATGTTTTTCAGCGTTAGAATTTAGTT